AATTTGACAATAAATTTGACCGCCAGGCGGTCACATCTCGCCACGCGCTCGAATTGGGAGGTGGGCCGGGCTAAGACGACAATTTTGAATAATTAATTACAGGACTTTTCGACTCGGTCTAGTCCGCTCTACCTGCACACCAAAAAAGTCCCCAATATTCAATGACACCCTGTATACGTAATGTAAACTGAATGCACTAAATTCAAATTATTACAAAATGTCAACGCGAAATGAAATCAGAGGAGAGGGTGGGGTGTCCAGACTAGTGGTCTCAATTATTCGAAGAAAAATCCCCTCTAGTCCAGATTTCATTACAGCCTATATTTTTCGCGAGGTCCTAGAGAGTAATTCTGAAAAATTTAGTCAAAAGACTTAGGCCCGTATTCTGAATCCTCTTTTATCGATAAAAGCACCTCTAGACTGAAAAAAACACTCGCTACCGTAGCTAATCATGGTTTGCTAAAGATATTTTGCTGCCATAACTATAAATTTCTAAAGCAAACGGTTTGCTGTCGCACGTAATACAATAGGCACCAGTTACAAAATATTTAGCTATCACAACTAAATGTTAGCTGTCCATATTTTGCAACTGAAATTTAGTTGCCACATGCAGTTTTTAGCTTCGGCAGCTACATCCCAGCAAACACAGAACATTGCAACAACGTTGAGGCAATGTTGCTACAATGCTGCAATGTTGCCGTAATGTTGCTGCAATGTTCTGTTTGCTGGGATTTTTCTTTGCGTGTGAAAGTTGCTTGTAGCCAATCAGAAGACATTAGCCACTTTTAGAGGCGCTTTTATTGATAAAAGAGGGTGCAGAATACGGGCCTTAGGAGTAAATAACAAACATACAGACAGACATTCATGTATATAGACTTGGAATAGTAAGCAAGCTGTGTTACCCGAAGACTTCGAGATAATGCACGAAGTCACGTAAATCGTAGAATAAAATGCAACGAGAAAAATATGTTATATTTTGGAAGGGATAATTTTAGAATCTCTATCTCTGTAGAACCCCGTAGATGATCCTTGAGGAATGTAATCGTGGGTACCGAACGTAACAGCGATTCTCAAGATGATTCCGTCCGATTGCGTTCTGGACATATCCAACGTGTTTCATTCCACTTCGGTGGTGATCGAAGGAGCCTGCCTCAACAAATCCGAGCCTACCGCAGTGCTTAGAGATGTATCGGCCCGCGTACACGGCGGAGAGGTCTTGGCTATTCTAGGATCAAAGGGCTCCGGCAAACGAGCGCTTCTCGATGTTATCGGTGAATAATTCTAATCATTCTTATATCGTTTTGCAAAATTGTCAAAAATGTAGCTTATAGATAACCAGTCCATTACGATTTAACTAAACTTTGCCACGGCTAATCTTTTCTATCGTCCCATACTGGCATATTTTTTTCATAAAAATATTCCTATTAAATCGCATGAGAGATAAATAAAAGTAAAATAAAAATGTAGAGCTTGTAGTCGAGCAGACTGGCAAGAATTCGAATAGTTTATTTTACGACGTTTCGACCTAAACAAATTCTTGCCAGTCCGACCGACTACAAGCTCTGCGATCTTACCTGTATTTAATTTTACCACTGGTGACTATACGCAAGAACACTCAAGCTCAAGTAAATAAAAGTAAAGGTAATACATTGAAATCGGCGCGTGAATTTAAAGAAACTTGAACTTGAAATTTCTACCAGCTGGAAGGGCGGAGGGCGAGACGAGGGGGCGGGTTACCCTGAACGGCAACCTGCTGACGCCGGAGCTGTTTCGGCGCCACGGCGGCTACGTGGCCCACAGGTGTCACCTGCTGCCGAGTCTCACGGTTCGCCAGACCCTGACGTACGCCACGTGGCTCGCCAATCTGAACAATCGCGAGGTCCGAGTGCGGCAGACCCTCGCCGACCTTGCAC